AGGAGTTACATATCTATACATTATGAGGAGAGGGGGAGGAGTTATAGATCTATACGTTATGAGGAGGGGGAGGAGTTATAGAGCTATACATTATGAGGAGGGGGAGGAGTTATAGAGCTATACATAATGAGGAGGGGGAGGAGTTATAGAGCTATACATTATGAGGAGGGGGAGGAGTTATAGAGCTATACATTATGAGGAGAGTGGGAGGAGTTATAGAGCTATACATTATGAGGAGAGGGGGAGGAGTTATAGTGCTATACATTATGAGGAGAGGGGGAGGAGTTATAGAGCTATACATTATGAGGAGAGTGGGAGGTGTTATAGAGCTATACATTATGAGGAGAGTGGGAGGAGTTATAGTGCTATACATTATGAGGAGAGGGGGAGGAGTTATAGATCTACACATTATGAGGAGAGGGGGAGGAGTTATAGAGCTATACATTATGAGGAGAGGGGTAGGAGTTAGATCTATACATTATGAGGAGAGGGGGAGGAGTTAGATCTATACATTATGAGGAGGGGGAGGAGTTAGATCTATACATTACGAGGAGAGGGGGAGGAGTTAGATATATACATTATGAGGAGAGGGGGAGGAGTTAGATCTATACATTATGAGGAGAGGGGGAGGAGGAAGAAAGGAGGAGAGAAAAGCTTTTATTCTCTCCTTCATTTAACTCATCCCTCTGTCTCCTCCCCTGTCTCCTTCCCTGTCCCTCCCCTGACGCCTCCTCTGACGCCTCCCATTGTCTCCTCCCCTTGTCTCCTCCCCTGTCTCCTCCCCTGACTCCTGCCCCTGTCTCCTCCCCTGACTCCTCCCCCTGACTCCTCCCCCTGTCTCCTCCCCTGTCACCTCCCCTGTCTCTTCCCCTGTCTCCTCCCCTGTCTCCTCACACCTGCTCTACTTGAAGAGGGGGACAGAGAGACAGACAAGTTAAAGGGAAAAGGAGGGCGGGAAGATAGGGGAGAGAGAGAGACAGACAGAGGAGACATACTGAGAGAGAGAGAGACAGACAGAGGAGAAATACTGAGAGAGAGAGAGACAGACAGAGGAGACATACTGAGAGAGAGAGAGAGACAGACAGAGGAGACATACTGAGAGAGAGAGACAGACGAGAAATACTGAGAGAGAGAGAGACAGACAGAGGAGACATACTGAGAGAGCGAGAGAGAGACAGACAGAGGAGACATACTGAGAGAGAGAGAGAGAGAGAGAGAGAGAAAAAGAGAGACAGAGGGAGACAATGAGAGAGAGAGACAGAAGAGGAGAGAGAGAGAGAGAGAGGAGAGAGAGAGAGAGACAGACAGAGGAGACATACTGAGAGAGAGAGAGAGAGAGAGAGAGAGAGAGAGAGAGAGAGAGACAGAGGAGACATACTGAGAGAGAGAGAGACAGAGAGAAAAGAGAGAAAAGGAGAGCGACATACTGAGAGAGAGAGGGAGAGAGAGGAGGAAAAGAGAGAGAGAGAGAGAAGAGAGAGAAGAGAGAGGAGAGAGAAAACTATACTGAGAGAGAGAGAAGGACAGAGAGAGAGTAGAATATGAGAGGAGGAGAGTGGGGACAGTAGAGGAGGAGAGAGAGAGAGAGAGAGGGGGGTGCTAGAGGAGAGAGAGAGAGAGAGAGAGGGGACTAGGACATTACTGAGAGAGAGACAGAGAGAGAGAGAGAGAGAGAGAGAGAGAGAGAGAGAGAGAGAGAGAGAGAGAGAGAGCAGCTGGCCAGCCATACATCAGCTCTCCTCCCCTCATCTGCTTCTCTGCTCTCTTTGGCTGGACCATGGACGGACGTGACCCTAGTCCTGGCATTGTGTGTATATGTCTGTGCAACAAGAGCTCATCGTTTCCCTTTGAAATTCGACATATGATGGATGAACGTCTATTACGCATTAATTCCACGCGGTTACAGGATTAAACAAAAACAACTCAAATGTTAACCGTTTTAGACATTCATTCAGAGTGGTTAAGGTTAGGGCCATGGTTTGGGGGAAGGCTTAAAACAAAATCATTAAAAACAACATGCTGTTTCCATCAAGTATCATCAAGTATTGCTTGCTAGAGTATTGTCAACTGCCGTGGTGAAGTGGTCTACGCAGCTAGCTTCGTCTCCGAGCATCATTATTTTTTTGGGGGGTATATATCGACGTTCTCAGGACCTTTTCAAACGTCCGAAATCGATGTCTATTTCTAGTGAACAGGCTGGTGTGTCTGGGCAACATTAAAAATGAACTGATTATGTAGTTCCAATCAACTTCTATAAATGGCATGCAGATTCAGAATATGCATAATTCTGTCATAATTCCTTGTACTAATCTTCAACCAAAACAGTTTGCAGTAATGACCAATTCAGCCAAACGATAACATTAGTCTGAAGGTTAAACGTGTCCTGAAGGTTAAATGCATCTGGTCATCAGTAGGTCATTTCTGTACCAGTCTAATAGGATAGGACCATCGCTACACACACACACACACACGCACACACGCACACACACACACACGCACGCACGCACGCACGCACGCACGCACGCACGCACGCACACACACACACACACACACACACACACACACACACACACACACACACACTGACACACACACACACACCACACACACACACACACACACACACACACACACACACACACACACACACACACACACACACACACACACACACACGGCCAATGCCAATGTAATCTGTACAGCTGCTGAACTAGCATCACCACTCAGCCACTGTGGCACTCACTGTGTGATACACAGCTGAACAAACAACCACACTGCCATCTAGTGGTGATTGAGAAGAACAGCCACACTGCCATCTAGTGGTGATTGAGAAGAACGGCCACACTGCCATCTTGTGGTGATTGAGAAGAACAGCCACACTGCCACCTAGTGGTGATTGAGAAGAACAGCAACACTGCAACCTAGTGGTGATTGAGAGGAACAGCCACACTGCCATCTTGTGGTGATTGAGAAGAACAGCCACAGTGCCATCTAGTGGTGATTGAGAGGAACAGCCACACTGCCACCTAGTGGTGATTGAGAGGAACGGCCACATTGCTTCCTAGTGGTGATTGAGAAGAACAGCAACGGTCAGAGATGACTACACAGAGAACACAGGAGCACTGACTTTGTGCATGTCATTTGGGAAATGGGCATTCCCATGCAACGTGCACACACACAGAGGTAACGTGCACACACATAGAGGTAACGTGCACACACAAAGAGGTAACGTGCACACACACAGAGGTAACGTGCACACACAAAAAGGCAACGTGCACACACACAGAGGGTAACGTGCACACACAAAGAGGTAACGTGCACACAAACAGAGGTAACGTGCACACATGCAGATATGCACACACCCTCTCTCTCTCGCTCTCTCTGACTCTCTCTCTCTCTCTCTCTCTCTCTCTCTCTCTCTCTCTCTCTCCCCCTCCCTCTCTCTCTCCCCCCCCCCCCCTCTCTCTCTGTCTCCCCCCTCTCTCTTTCCAGAGACACACACGCACCCACACATGCGTAAGCCACAGTGGCTGACCAAGTGACGTGTGACAGTGATGGAAACAATTGTGGTTTCTGCAGATCTGCACCAAACCACCCCCTCTCCCCTCCCTCCCTCCCAGAGAGGCATGACAACAGAGCTGCAGAGGTGACACATGCACACACACACACACACACACGCTTGCACACACACACAGACACACACACACACACACACACTCACAAACACATTTGCAGGGCCACAGTAGCAGTGGCGAAGCAGTTGACACATGACAAGATAGAATTGACTGTGGTTTGTACAGACGTGAATATACCTTAACACATCAAAACTCCCCTCAGACCTGAAGACCTCTCTTCCCTTAACCCCTTAGTCCTCCCCTCATACATTGACCACTGCTAATGTTGATAAGTCTGATATTATGATGTTGGCATTACAGTACTCATATAAGAGCTAGTCACTGATTGTCTGAGAATACACACTCAGTACACAGGAAACCCACACTGACTTCCTGTTGTTGTTGCCATGGTGCTGTCATTCAGCCTGAGGAAGAGAGTCCAAACGTTATTATTAGTTAGTTAAAGTTAATTTGTCACAGATATCTCTCCCCTTCACACGTATTGACCAGAGTGTGTATGTTAATTGCTTGGCCAGTGTTCATTGCTAAACACAGAGATCATACATCAGATGGGATAAAAAGTACTGTTTAACACTGGGTATATAGCACATCATCCAATGCATCTTGGGTATTGTAGTTTACTATTATCACCACCATAGTTTAGTGTTCTAAACACAAAGATCCATCATGAAAAATAACATAGATTCAGTATCTCTATGCATGTTGTGTCCTGTGACCTCGTGAGTCTCCATGATAGAAGTGTTGTGGTGTGAACCACTGGACAAAAGGCCAACAACTGTCTGTTCCAGTTTAAATAGGGACCTAGATGTCCCTCTCTGAGTGTCACACCACTTAAACCAGTTCAAATAGACTGGCTCGGGATTTATATCTATACTGTTAGATTACTTTAATGTTTAATCAATCAAACTATAGGTTTGATGCATTCTGACTACTGTACATATATAAACGCTGATTGGCCAACTTTAGGCTTCTGTCTCCTAAGTCTTTCCTTCAAAGGTCAAAGGTCAAAGTCAGTTATCAAAATGTAATCTACATAAACAGGATGTTTTGAGTTGATGTTGAATTGATCGCCCGCTGATGCCTATAAGTGTTGCTGTCTAAGGTGAACACCTCAAAGAAGCTGAATATTTTCCATTGACGTCACGTTACTTTGAAACCTGTTTACCTCGATGCTAGACCCTCCTCTTCATGTCACAACATGGGTTTCAGAGAAAAGGACCACAAGCTGAAAACTTTCCACTCGATCGAACCAATCGCTGCTCGTATGTCCTTTCATGGTAAAGTATGTCAAGTCATGAACACGGAAATACTCACCTAAGACCCAGCTCCTATCTGACAGTCACCATAACACCATCAGACCACGAGATGGACAGGCTGTGTGTTGCTCTCACTGCTCTGCTATGTAAGTACACTAGTGTTTTACTGGGTCTAACAGCTGCCTGATATCTCATTCATTTATGTGATTTTATGGTTGACTAGATTTGTTATTGAGATATTGTGATGTTTCCTATACTTTCACATGTGGGGGGGGGGGGGGGTGCACACACACTCAAGCACACACACATACAGACAAAGACACACACAGACACACACACACACACACATACACACACACAGACACACACACACATACACACACACACAGACAAAGACACACAGACACACACACAGACGACACACACACAGACAAAGACACACAGACACACACGGGGGGGTGGGATGCTCTCGATGGTGCAGCTGTAGAACTTTTTGAGGATCATGCCAAATCTTTTCAGTCTCCTGAGGAGGAGAAGGTGTTGTCGTGCCCTCTTCACGACTGTCTTGGTGTGTTTGGACCACGATAGGTCATTGGTGACGTGGACAACAAGGAACTTAAAACTCTCGAACCGCTCCACTACAGCCCCGTTGATGTTAATGGGGGCCTGTTCGGCCCTCCTTTTCCTGTAGTCCACGATCAGCTCCTTTGTCTTGCTCACATTGAGGGAGAGGTTGTTGTCCTGGCACCACACTGCCAGATCTCTGACCTCCTCCCTATAGGCTGTCTTATCGTTGTCGGTGATCAGGCCTACCACTGTTGTGTCATCAGCAAACTTAATGATGGTGTTGGAGTCGTGTTTGGACATGCAGTCGTGGGTGAACAGGGAGTACAGGAGGGGACTGAGCACGCACCCCTGAGGGGCCCCAGTAATGAGGATCAGCGTGGCAGATGTGTTGTTGCCTACCCTTACCACCTGGGGGCGGCCCGTCAGGAAGTCCAGGATCCAGTTGCAGAGGGAGGTGTTTAGTCCCAGGGTCCTTAGCTTAGTGATGAGCTTTGTGGGCACTATGGTGTTGAACGCTGAGCTGTAGTCAATGAACAGCATTCTCACATAGGTGTTCCTTTTGTCCAGGTGGGAAAGGCCAGTGTGGAGTGCGATTGAGATTGCGTCATCTGTGGACCTGTTGGGGCAGTATGCGAATTGGAGTGGGACTAGGGTTTCTGGGATAATGGTGTTGAATGCCCTCCAGTCAGTTCATCCTAATACTGTTCCTCTGCTACCTGTAGGTGCTGTTTCCTCCAGTCAGTTCATCCTAACACTGTTCCTCTGCTACCTGTAGGTGCTGTTTCCTCCAGTCAGTTCATCCTAACACTGTTCCTCTGCTACCTGTAGGTGCTGTTTCCTCCAGTCAGTTCATCCTAACACTGTTCCTCTGCTACCTCTGCTACCTTTCATTTGGTAAGAAAAATGTCATTGTTCAAGCTTTATCTAAAGGCTCTATATTTGGTATTGGCATGTTTTGTTTCCTTGAATGAGGTTGAGGTTAATTTATACCTATTTTGTTGCCTTACAACCTGGAATTAAAATGGATTTTTTTTGGGGGGGTTGTATCATTTGATTTACACAACATGCCTACCACTTAGAAGATGCAAAATATTTTGAGAAATAAGACAAAAAAACTGAAAACTTGAGCGTGCATAACTATCCCCCCCTCAATTTTAGTTTCATCTGACCAGAGTACCTTCTTCCATATGTTTGGGAGTCTCCCACATGCCTTTTGGCGAACACCAAACATGTTTGCTTATTTTTTTCTGGCCACTCTTCCGTAAAGCCCAGCTCTGTGGAGTGTACGGCTTAAAGTGGTCCTATGGACAGATACTCCAATCTCCGCTGTGGAGCTTTGCAGCTCCTTCAGGGTTATCTTTGGTCTCTTTGATGCCTCTCTGATTAATACCCTCCTTGCCTGGTCCCTGAGTTTTGGCGGGCGGCCCTCTCTTGGCAGGTTTGTTGTGGTGCCATATTCTTTCAATTTTTTAATAATGGATTTAATGGTGCTCCGTGGGATGTTCAAAGTTTCAGATATTTTTCTCTAACCCAACCCTGATCTGTACTTCTCCGCAACTTTGTCCCTGACCTGTTTGGAGAGCTTCTTGGTCTTCATGGTGTCGCTTGCTTGGTGGTGCCCCTTGCTTAGTGGTGTTGCAGACTCTGGGCCCTTTCAGAACAGGTGTATATACACTGAGATCATGTGACAGATCATGTGACACTTAGATTGCACACAGGTGGACTTTATTTAACTAATTATGTGACTTCTGAAGGTAATTGGTTGCACCAGATTTTATTTAGGGGCTTCATAGCAAAGGGGGTGAATACATATGCACACACCACTTTTCCGTTATTTATATTTAAAAAAAAATTGATCTTCACCAATTTGGACTATTTTTTGTATGTCCATTACATACATTTACATTTTAGTCATTTAGCAGACGCTCTTATCCAGATCGACTTACAGTTAGTGAGTGCATACATGAATTGTATTATTATTATTATTTTGTTATTTTGTCTTTTTCTTTTTTCTTTTTGTAACTTTTTTTTTTCATACTGGCCCCCCGTGGGAATCGAACCCACAACCCTGGCATTGCAAACGCCATGCTCTACCAACTGAGCTACATCCCTGCCGGCCATTCCCTCCCCTACCCTGGACGACGCTGGGCCAATTGTGCGCCGCCCCATGGGTCTCCCGGTCGCAGCCGGCTACGACAGAGCCTGGATTCGAACCAGGATCTCTAGTGGCACAGCTAGCACTGCAATGCAGTGCCTTAGACCACTGCGCCACTCGAAAGACATGAAATCCAAATAAAAAGACATGAAATCCAAATAAAAATCCATTTAAATTATAGGTTGTAATGCAACAAAATATCAGTCCTCCTGAGCCCTCCTCCTATGATCATAGTTCTCCATTTATAACTGTGTGTTTTGTCCAGATGACAGAACACCTGATGTAGACTGTGGACTGGACACTCTAAGAGAGTAGTTCTGTTTGTGTTTAATGTTTTGTCCAGACGTCAGTCCTCCTGAGTCCTCCTCCTCCCTCCTCCTGAGTCCCCCTCCTCCTCTCCTGATGTAGACTGTGGACTGTGTTGGATGTTGCTGTTCAGTCTGTGTCCTGTGTCTGCTCTCCTCTCCTCCCTCCTCTCCTCTTTCTGTGTCTACTCCTTCTGCAGAACAACAGGTAAACTAACTTCATTATTAATAGCATTATGTGCTCTTTCACTATTTCATAGCATGCACTCACTCATTCAGTTTTTTTGATGTGATGAATTTTAATTCAATCTTACTAACTATTGAAGTAAGGAACGTCCTATAGCCTAATATTCTGTTATTGACTACACCATAAATAATGTAACAAATGGTTATTTAACTTCGAGGCCTCTATGTTCTGCTGCCACAAGTGTCAGACGCACGTTAATTAGCAATTTAGTCATGTAAAAACTGGAACACTGGCATTTTCCAGCCCCTAATGGTTCGTCAATTTACCTGTCTAGCATCCGCTCACTTGCACTGGGAGGGGCGACATTTTAGAGGTGTGTCCTTAAAAAACAAGCAAAAAAAGTGATCATTTCACGCAGCGCTAATGGCACGTTTTCTAGAGCCACTAAAAAGCAGGTCTTAACGGTAACGCAGATGATTTTGAGCGTGGAAGCGTACCCTAATCCAGGCATGACGCCCATGGAAGGAAATATGTGCCGTTTGTGATGGTGAATCTCTTTAAATTGGATCATTATCCAGCTCCTGTGAAAAGTTGTAAAGCCCTCCATAGTCTAACTTGTCTTGTCTGTATTATAAGCCCACAGGGAGCTATTATGGTGCCTGTACCTGTATTTAGACATAGTTGTTGTTTAGTTTTTATTAGAAACTGATTAGCATTATACTGTGTCTTTTTAGGCCTTATCAATAGCCTAATTAATTTAATCTTGCTTATTGACTATGTTTGGCGTGTCCATGTCCAGCAATTTACAGTAGGCTTAGCCCCTATATCAGTTTGAATGCTCTAGCCCAGTCCTTCTCAAATAGTGGGGCGCGCCCCCCTGGGGGGGCTCGGAGCGATGCCAGGGGGGGCGCGTGTGACCCCGGGGAACATGCTTTTTTTAGCAGGGAGTAGTTTTTTTTTTGCACCGAACGAGCACAGAGCAGGAGATATGAAGTGCAGATAACAAACCCTTAAGAGACACCATTGAGACATATCTAACAGGGATGAAAAGAAAGGCGGAGAGAGACGGAGATAATGAGACAAAGTCTCCCGAAAGCGAAGACGAGGAAATATGACGAAGCGTATGTAGCGCTTGGCTTCACTGTGACTACGGTGGGAGACGAGGAAAGACCGGTATGTTTACTGTGTCTAAAAATGTTGGCAGCGGACAGCATGAAGCCAAATAAATTAAGGCGTCACTTAAATACATTACACCCCAATCACGCTGATAAGCCGCTTGAGTTTTTTCAGCGAAAACGTGCCGAATATTGGCAACAATCAGAGGAGCTGATACTGCCTGCAGCATTAGACACGGTCTCTGTCATGCTGGATGACGCAAGTGCTGCAAAAATAAAAACTATCCCTCTGTCCAATGACACCGTCGCCAATGACACTGAGAGTTGCAGTATCATGCTTCAAACCCCGCTTCGAAAAGCTGTGCACTGCAAAACGTGCTCATTGTAGCCATTAATCCTGACTTCCTCATTTTTATAAAAATAAAAAATAAAAAAATCAGCACAAATTGTTTTATTCATTTTTGTTTTATAGGTCAAAGTGTTTCATATATTGTGCTCCTGAGTTAATGTTGCTGATTAATTTGAATTTATTATTATTTATTGATTATATTTAATTTTATTTTTCAGTATCAAATGGTCAAAAAATGTTTACAGTTTAAATAAGGGTTGCATTTTTTTTTAAATTTCAGGCAAATTGATGCATTTTAAGTATTTTCTGTTACAATGTTAATAAAGTTATTCTTTGTTGTAAGTTGATCTATATTTCTTTCTTTTTTATTTTCTTTAATGTTAATAAGGATACAATGTTATGCAGAGGTGTACATATAACAATTTTATAGACAAATTATACTATTTACAGTCGCGGCGGAGGGGCGCGAAATGTTTACTTCTTCCTAGGGGGGGCGTAACAGAAAATAATTGAGAAGCACTGCTCTAGCCTATGTTTCACAATGTATTTCCATATTAAAGCGATGCAATTAGAACAATGTGCAAACATGTTCAACATATTTAGAAAACATGGAGCAGGCAATTTAATGAACTACGCTACAAAGGACTAACACTGGAGTTGGAGTTGATGACAAATGCAATACATAAAAATACCTTAAATACACAACTTGAAGCAACCACTTATTTAGCCATGGAGCACGTTCTGATTGGCCAGTGAGGGGCCAGGCCTGGACACACCCACAACTTGTTTATATCATCAAAACCTAGCCCTTTTGCGCCAGTTACTGCGGTTGTGAAAATAGCAAAAATATTTCTGATACACCCCCGAACCTATATTGCTACTGCCAGCACTAAGATGTACCATTGCATTAAGTTTTTTTTAAAATAAAGCCCTAAAAGTTAGTATATGTCCTTAGATGTGTTATTTTAACACTGCCTAACTCTACTCTGCAGCTCCAGCTGAGACTCAGGTTCCTCTGAACAGGACTACGACCAGGGGAAGTGACAGCAGAGAGAAGGTACTATATCTGTACAGGAAGAGTGGGTGTTGTAGTTCTATAATGGGGGGCCATCTGTACAGTCAGAATGGGTAAAACTATAACGAGTGTCCATCTTGTTTTGTAGTCCAAGTTTTTTTAACCCAGTCTTATTCAAATCAGTGGCAAGTATACTCTTAAAAAATTTAATGGAATATGCAATAAAACATAATATATTTTATGATGTAATCATACTGTATGATGATATAACAATTAGAGTAACAGATTACTTATAAAAAACTATCTCTTTCTTCTCTCTCTCTCTCTCTATCTCTCTCTCTCTCTCTCTCTCTCTCTCTCTCTCTCTCTCTCTCTCTCTCTCTCTCTCTCTCTCTCTCAGGAGGAAGGAGATCTGTTTTACGCCTCGTTGGATATCCGTCAGGGACAGAGGAGACCAAAGAAGAAGAGATCCCAGAACTCTGACTTCAGTACCTACACTGCCATCAATACCAGCAGAGTGTGAGACCAATACCAGCCATCAATACCAGCAGAGTGTGTGACCGGGCGGCAGGTAGCTTAGTGGTTAAGAGCGTTGTGCCAGTAACCGAAAGGTCTCTGGTTCTAATCCCCGAGACGACTAGGTGAAAAATCTGTCGATGTGCCCTTGAGCAAGGCACTTAACCCTAATTGCTCTGGATAAGAGCGTCTGCTAAATGACTAATTATATTATTATAATTATATTATTATTATATTATTATATATTATTATTATATTATATACCTATACCCTCCATCAATACCAGCAGAGTGAGAGACCTATACCAGCCATCAATACCAGCAGAGTGTGTGACCTATACCCTCCATCAATACCAGCAGAGTGAGAGACCTATACCAGCCATCAATACCAGCAGAGTGAGAGACCTATACCAGCCATCAATACCAGCAGAGTGTGTGACCTATACCAGCCATCAATACCAGCAGAGTGTGAGACCTATACCAGCCATCAATACCAGCAGAGTGTGTGACCTATACCAGCCATCAATACCAGCAGAGTGTGACCTATACCAGCCATCAATACCAGCAGAGTGTGTGACCTATACCAGCCATCAATACCAGCAGAGTGTGACCTATACCATCCATCAATACCAGCAGAGTGTGAGACCTATACCAGCCATCAATACCAGCAGTGTGACCTATACCAGCCATCAATACCAACAGAGTGAAACCTATACCATCAATCAATACCAGCAGAGTGTGAGACCTATACCAGCCATCAATACCAGCAGAGTGTGAGACCTATACCATCCATCAATACCAGCAGAGTGTGAGACCTATACCATCCATCAATACCAGCAGAGTGAGAGACCTATACCAGCCATCAATACCAGCAGAGTGTGTGACCTATACCCTCCATCAATACCAGCAGAGTGAGAGACCTATACCAGCCATCAATACCAGCAGAGTGTGAGACCTATACCATCCATCAATACCAGCAGAGTGAGACCTATACCAGCCATCAATACCAGCAGAGTGTGAGACCTATACCATCCATCAATACCAGCAGAGTGTGAGACCTATACCAGCCATCAATACCAGCAGAGTGTGAGACCTATACCAGCCATCAATACCAGCAGAGTGTGAGACCTATACCATCCATCAATACCAGCAGAGTGTGAGACCTATACCAGCCATCAATACCAGCAGAGTGTGAGACCTATACCAGCCATCAATACCAGCAGAGTGTGAGACCTATACCAGCCATCAATACCAGCAGAGTGTGAGACCTATACCAGCCATCAATACCAGCAGAGTGTGAGACCTATACCAGCCATCAATACCAGCAGAGTGAGACCTATACCAACCATCAATACCAGCAGAGTGTGAGACCTATACCATCCATCAATACCAGCAGAGTGAGACCTATACCAACCATCAATACCAGCAGAGTGTGAGATCTATACCATTATAGACTTAGCTGGAAGGACAAAGTATGACAGCTTTGATAGTATGAGTTATTTTACTTTTTCATTTTTGTACTGGTGACTTTTGTGTATTTTACTTTTGTCTGTAGCCTTTCATTTTTGCATTTGCCTTTTAATAATTAGAACAATAGTGATTTTAAAATGTTTTTAAGCTCAGGGAATATGTTTATATAGGTCTTGACAGAGTTTCAGTTTGGAAGTTTAATTGTTGGTATTTCATTGTAATTAATTTGTGCAGTGTATTGATGTGTTTGAAATGCAATTTTCAATAAATATTGATTCAGTTTCATTAGATTTTATTTCATTATTTCATTGTCTCCCACTATGCCAGGCAGGGGTATTCAACCCTGACCCTACGAGGTCCGGAGCCTGCTGGTTTTCTGTTCAACCTGATAATTAATTGCACCCACCTGGTGTCCCAGGTCTAAATCAATCCCTGATTAGAAGGGAACAATGAAAAAAACCCCAGTGGAACTGTCTTTGAGGTCCAGAGTTGAGTATGAGGGCACTATGGTCTCTTCCAGGTCAATGAGGTCCAGAGTTGAGTATGAGGGCCCTATGGTCTCTTCCAGGTCAATGTCATGCCATTCAGTCTTCAGGCTCCAGCGACCTTTCAGAGAGGTCTGTGTTTGGAGGTGTGGCTGACAGGCTGAGGGTGTGGTCAAAGGCGTCCGCATGCATCCCAGACAAAACAGTTCGGAAGAGTTTCTGCATATATTATGACGACATGTAAGGGTTTTGTCGGTGGGCCGAAGTCGGTAGCCGAAGTCTACGCCCCTTTGTCAGTGATTGGTCAACAATAGGGACTTAGCTGGGAGGACAAGGAGTTTGATGTTTTTTTCACAGTGAATAAATTTTTTATGGAATAATTTTCACTTCCGATATCTTTCTCTCTCTCTCTGAAATTATGAAAATGAGTTTAGAATTTTTTTTACTAGTCGTTTTTTTTAATGGTTATTATTATTACTTTTATAATTATAACAATTGATGTTTTTAAACTTGCATACATTTTACTGTAGATCGAACCTGCATTGGATCTATCAGAGTAAAATCATAGTTTCAAAAGCTTTTTGTAAAGTGGTGTGTTTTTAAATAAAAAAACTTTTATTTAATTTAATTTACTTAAATTGTCGTAAGCATTTTGAAATCATTATGAAATTAGGTGTGGTGAAATGTGAAGACACTGCTTGTATCATAAACAGATAAAGTAACAGCGCTACTTCCAAGACAGATGATCCAAGACTGACGCAGTTTACCCCTATGGAACGTTTAGGTTTTGCCCTAGCACTACACAGCTGAATCAAATAATCAACGCTTGATGATTAACTGATAATTTAAATATTTAAATGTGCACCCCTTGGGGTCCCCAGGACCAAGTTTGGGAAAATCTGCCCTATGGTCTCATCAATGTTAAGGTCATGCCATTCTGTATGAAAAGGCTCTAGCAACCTTTCAGATAGGTTTTTGTTTGAGAGTGTGGCTTATATACTAAGAGGGTTGGCTTAGAAGTGACAAGGGTGTGATTAATATAATAAGAGGGTGTGGCCTATATGCTAATGGAGTGTGTCTTTAGAGGAAGACAGATGCTGAACAGAACCACAGCAGTTTCCATGGTTTCATACAAACACCTAGCCTATGGTTGAAGTTGACTAAAAGTAGCTCAGTAAAGCTTTAAAACACATTCTCAATAGAGATACATAGAGAAGTCAGGTGAATTATACCACAGAACATTATCATCTCTGAAAAACACAATTTCATTTCAACATATATATATATATGATTATGATTATTTATTATTATTATTTATTTATGGTCTGAGCTGGGTCCTGGTGGTGGTCTCCAGAGCTCTGTTTCTGTTCCTCATTCCTGCTGCCTTCTGGGTCGGGAACACACACGGTGGGTCAGGACATGGGGATACTCATATCTGTTTGTTATCAGAACTCAGGATAAGACCCAGATGCAGACAGTTCGAATCACAGATGTTTATTAACAAAACAGGGGGCAGCAGACGACAGGTCAAGGGCAGGCAGAGGTTGGTAATCCAGGGCAGAGACAGTAAAATACAGAACGTCCGAACGGTTTGTCCGAGAAACTAATATGACCCCACTGTGGAAAGGGGAGACTCACAAATACGATGGTGTTCTCCGTTTCGGTGTCCAACCCCCTAAAGTGCCACAGGGCTCGTCTGAAGGTAACCCATTCAAATGAATGGAAGTATGGAGGTAGTTTGGTGCCAACAAAAATAAGAGCTTAAATATGTCCCACAAAACTAAAACATTCCCTGAGCTTTCAGACACTTCAAACTTATGATTTATTTTGTGACAGTCTTTTTTGCCATTTATGAATGTGTTATTCAATGTGTTTCTATGGGCTATAGTACTCAATGCCAAATTAAATATTTAACAAAACATTTTTGTATATATATATATTTGTATACCTAAAGGGGTCCTAAAATTCTAAATCAAATAGCTAAATTATCCATGGTATGACCATCTTAAAACAATTCCATATGTTAGCTTAGTAAATAATGAAATACAATCTAATTAAACTGAATCAATATTTATTCAGCTACATTAACACATCAATACACTTAAAAAATGAAATACAATGAACTTTCACAACTACAATTACAAACTGCAACTATATCAATAGTTAATAAACCATATTCCGTGAGCTTAAAAACATTTTCTAAATCACTATTGTTATTATTATTAAAAGGCTACAGACAAAAGTTGTATGAAAATGATTTTAAAAGGTTAAACAAATATCCCCCCCAAAAATTAAGTAACTCGTAAAAATATAAAAACTGTTGTTTTTCCTCCCAGCTGCTGGTATTGATAGCTGATATAGGTCTCACTCTGCTGGTATTGATGGATGGTATAGGTCTCTCACTCTGCTGGTATTGATGGATGGTATAGGTCTCACTCTGCTGGTATTGATGGCTGGTATAGGTCTCACACTCTGCTGGTATTGATGGATGGTATAGGTCTCACTCTGCTGGTATTGATGGCTGGTATAGGTCTCCACTCTGCTGGTATTGATGGCTGGTATAGGTCTCACACTCTGCTGGTATTGATGGCTGGTATAGGTCTCACACTCTGCTGGTATTGATGGCTGGTATAGGTCTCACTCTGCTGGTATTGATGGATGGTATAGGTCTCACACTCTGCTGGTATTGATGGATGGTATAGGTCTCACACTCTGCTGGTATTGATGGCTGGTATAGGTCTCACTCTGCTGGTATTGATGGATGGTATAGGTCTCACTCTGCTGGTATTGATGGATGGTATAGGTCTCACTCTGCTGGTATTGATGGATGGTATAGGTCTCACTCTGCTGGTATTGATGGATGGTATAGGTCTCACTCTGCTGGTATTGATGGATGGTATAGGTCTCACTCTGCTGGTATTGATGGATGGTATAGGTCTCACTCTGCTGGTATTGATGGATGGTATAGGTCTCACCTGCTGGTATTGATGGTGGTATAGGTCTCACATCTGCTGGTATTGATGGTGGTATAGGTCTCACTCTGCTGGTATTGATGGATGGTATAGGTCTCACTCTGCTGGTATTGATGGCTGGTATAGGTCTACTCTGCTGGTATTGATGGATGGTATAGGTCTCACACTCTGCTGGTATTGATGGCTGGTATAGGTCTCACATCTGCTGGTATTGATGGATGGTATAAGGTCTCACTCTGCTGGTATTGATGGATGGTATAGGTCTCACTCTGCTGGTATTGATGGATGGTATAGGTCTCACACTCTGCTGGTATTGATGGCTGGTATAGGTCTCACACTCTGCTGGTATTGATGGATGGTATAGGTCTCACACTCTGCTGGTATTGATGGATGGTATAGGGCTCACTCTGCTGGTATTGATGGATGGTATAGGTCTCACTCTGCTGGTATTGATGGATGGTATAGGTCTCACACTCTGCTGGTATTGATGGCTGGTATAGGTCTCACACTCTGCTGGTATTGATGGATGGTATAGGTCTCACTCTGCTGGTATTGATGGCTGGTATAGGTCTCACTCTGCTGGTATTGATGGATGGTATAGGTCTCACACTCTGCTGGTATTGATGGCTGGTATAGGTCTCACACTCTGCTGGTATTGATGGATGGTATAGGTCTCACACTCTGCTGGTATTGATGGATGGTATAGGGCTCACTCTGCTGGTATTGATGGATGGTATAGGTCTCACTCTGCTGGTATTGATGGCTGGTATAGGTCCCACTCTGCTGGTATTGATGGATGGTATAGGTCTCACACTCTGCTGGTATTGATGGAGGGTATAGGTCTCACACTCTGCTGGTATTGATGGAGGGTATAGGTCTCACTCTGCTGGTATTGATGGAGGGTATAGGTCTCACTCTGCTGGTATTGATGGATGGTATAGGTCTCACTCTGCTGGTACTGATGGCTGGTATAGGTCTCACTCTGCTGGTATTGATGGCTGGTATAGGTCCCACACTCTGCTGGTATTGATGGCTGGTATAGGTCCCACACTCTGCTGGTACTGATGGCTGCTATAGGACTCACACTCTGCTGGTATTGATGGCTGGTATAGGTCCCACTCTGCTGGTATTGATGACTGGTATAGGTCTCACACTCTGCTGGAATTGATGGCTGTGTAGGTACTGAAGTCAGAGTTCTGGACTCTCTTCTTCTTCTTTGGTCTCCTCTGTCCCTGACGGATATCCAACGAGGCATAACACAGATCTCCTTCCTCCTGAGAGAGAGAGAGAGAGAGAGAGAGAGAGAGGAGAGAGAGAGAGAGAGAGAGGAGAGAGATGAGAGAGAGGGAGGAGGAGGAGAGAGAGAGAGAGAGAGAGGAGAGAGAGAGAGAGAGAGAGAGAGAGAGGGAGACAGAGGGGGGAGAGACAGAGGGGGACAATTAATCTGTTAATATTATTCACATATAATCATACATTATTATTATTTCATGAAATGCATCATGTCACTATGTTTTACTGCTCATTACTTTAGTTTTTAATGAGTATACTCGCCAATGCTTTGAATAGTACTGGGTTACAAATCACATGGACTACAAATAGAGATGGCCACCAGTCAAAGAACTACAACACCCATTCTGACTATACCTTCTCTCTGCTGTCACTTCCCCTGGTGGTAGTCCTGTTCAGAGGAACCTGAGTCTCAGCTGCAGCTGCAGAAGAAGAATTATCACCATTAAAACAACAAGTAAAGAACACATCTGATATTGAACTGTCAATTTAACATGGTTTACATTAGTTTACCAGAGTATTTGAAAGAAGGTTTGATTGATTGAATGATTGATGGCTGGTTTATTGATTGATTGATTATTTCATTGAGTGATTGAGTTGGAGAGTAAAACAGATTAAGTGAGAGTGAATGTATACTAACTTTGTAAGTAAAATAATCAATTTTGTATATTATTGATGTTGTCAAAAATGGAAGTTTAGGATGTAGGATGTTCCTTACTTCAACAGTTAGTAAGATGGAATTTAAATCAATCAAATCGTCAAAAGGAATGAGTGAGTCAGTGCATGCTATGAAATAGTGAAAGAAAAAAGAAAACATAATGCTATTAATAATGAAGTTAGTTTACCTGTTGTTCTGCAGAAGGAGTAGACACAGAAAGAGGAGAGGAGGGAGGAGAGGAGAGCAGACACAGGACACAGACTGAACAGCAACATCCAACACAGTCCACAGTCTACAGGAGGAGAGGAGGAGGAGGACTCAGGAGGAGGGGAGGAGGAGGACTCAGGAGGACTGACGTCTGGACAAAACATTAAACACAAACAGAACTAAACTCTTAGAGTGAGTTGTCAATTATCTACTGCTGATTGGATGTTTACAGATGATCTTGAGGCAATGTTTTATGACCCTAGATCAGCCTCGGATGATTGATTCAAAATAACATTTAATGGAACCCAGACACACCAATACTAATACAATATTAATAATACTAAAGATACAGCCAGAAGATCTATATATAGAATAATAATAGTTCTTACCCAGTGAAATCCTAGTGGTGATGTTTCCATAGTGGTACAACTCTTTCTGTTTAATTAGTTTTCCTTCTTCCACCACGTTAGTCTCCATAGTCCCACAGTAGTAGAGTCCCAGGTCAGATCCAGTGATGTTCTCAATCAGTAGATCATAGGAGTTGTTAGAGGGGTTCCACACCACATTATATCCAGGGAAAGGGTTATGCCAAATCGTAGTTGAAATAACAAGAGGTGGCTGGTACTTGTGAGAACAGTTCCTATACCACATAATGTATACTCCAGTAGTTATGATACAGTCACAGTAGAGAGTGATGTTGTCTCCTGGTCTGACTCTCAGCTCCACCTCTGCTGCAGAGATCCCAACCTGACTGGAGGAAACAGCACCTACAGGAAGCAGAGGAACAGTGTTAGGATGAACTGACTGGAGGAAACAGCACCTACAGGTAGCAGAGGAACAGTGTTAGGATGAACTGACTGGAGGAAACAGCACCTACAGGAAGCAGAGGAACAGTGTTAGGATGAACTGACTGGAGGAAACAGCACCTACAGGTAGCAGAGGAACAGTGTTAGGATGAACTGACTGGAGGAAACAGCACCTACAGGTAGCAGAGGAACAGTGTTAGGATGAACTGACTGGAGGAAACAGCACCTACAGGTAGCAGAGGAACAGTGTTAGGATGAACTGACTGGAGGAAACAGCACCTACAGGAAGCAGAGGAACAGTGTTAGGATGAACTGACTGGAGGAAACAGCACCTACAGGTAGCAGAGGAACAGTGTTAGGATGAACTGACTGGAGGAAACAGCACCTACAGATAGCAGAGGAACAGTGTTAGGATGAACTGACTGGAGGAAACAGCACCTACAGGTAGCAGAGGAACAGTGTTAGGATGAACTGACTGGAGGAAACAGCACCTACAGGTAGCAGAGGAACAGTGTTAGGATGAACTGACTGGAGGAAACAGCACCTACAGGTAGCAGAGGAACAGTGTTAGGATGAACTGACTGGAGGAAACAGCACCTACAGGTAGCAGAGGAACAGTGTTAGGATGAACTGACTGGAGGAAACAGCACCTACAGGTAGCAGAGGAACAGTGTTAGGATGAACTGACTGGAGGAAACAGCACCTACAGGTAGCAGAGGAACAGTGTTAGGATGAACTGACTGGAGGAAACAGCACCTACAGGTAACAGAGGAACAGTGTTAGGATGAACTGACTGGAGGAAACAGCACATACAGGTAGCAGAGGAACAGTGTTAGGATGAACTGACTGGAGGAAACAGCACCTACAGGTAGCAGAGGAACAGTGTTAGGATGAACTGACTGGAGGAAACAGCACCTACAGGTAGCAGAGGAACAGTGGTAGGATGAACTGACTGGAGGAAACAGCACCTACAGGTAGCAGAGGAACAGTGTTAGGATGAACTGACTGGAGGAAACAGCACCTACAGTTAGCAGAGGAACAGTGTTAGGATGAACTGACTGGAGGAAACAGCACCTACAGGTAGCAGAGGAACATTGTTAGGATGAACTGACCGGTGGAAACAGCACCTACAGGTAGCAGAGGAACAGTGTTAGGATGAACGCTACGAAACTACAACAATGTTAGAGACTTAAAGTCCCTTTACAATAAAGATGGCCTGCTATGCAGTTTCATGGCCTACAACACACAGAATAGACCACAGATTGGACTCTATGCCAAAAAATACCTTAAAATAACACAAATCAATTTTTTTACAGTGAAGTAATGGGGAACCATTAATTTTCATCTCAAATCGATCAATATAGACCTGTAATGTAAAAGTTTACTCACTTAACAGTGTGATCAGAGCGATACACAGCCTACCCATCGTAGGGTCTGGTGGAGACTGTCTGGAGAGTAGTAGAGGGGTATTTCCATTCTGGCGTAGGAGCATAGAGTTAGAAAGAAGGCCCGCCCCTGACATCTGCCCTCATGGCCTCAGTTGACTACTTCAATGATACTGCCCATGCTTAAACAGGCTTTGTGACAACACGTGCCCTCTACCCATCTCTATGTGTAGGAGGCAGTCATCATTTAACACCTTTGTTGAACCTCTTCATGCTAGTTCAGGCACTTAGGTAGGACCCTCACACCAGACCTGGGTTCAGATACTATTTGAAATCTTTCAAAAACCTTGAGCGTTTGCTCTGGCCTGCCTGGAGTACCAGGTGGTTGCGGTTAGAGACCATTCTATTGGTCCGTTTAGTCAGGCAAGCTCAATCAAGTACCGATTTAAGAATTTAAAATTATTTCAAATAGTAGTTGAACCCATATCTGTTCAGACCACATACTGTATAGGTGCCGATGGTATTGCACTCAAACATATTTAAGTTGCTATCTGGTTATCTGACTCTTCAGTTAATACTACTTCTATTGGGGACATTGAATGACATTCATGTACTGTTTTATCTTATCACAAGCTAAGGCCAAATAGGTAATAAAGCTTTTGGAAACAGTTGTGGTTTTCTGCAGGTCTGGCCTCCCACGCCTTGAACCTTTAGCCCATACCTCACTGAGCAGTAGCAGAGCTGAATCAACCACAGACTCACCTAGGCTTGCACTTTGCACACACATGTATACGCAGGCAAACCCACGCGCACACACACACACGCACGCTCACACACACACTCACACACACAAACACAGGCTAAGACGGTGTGGTTTAGATGTTGAGGGTGTGGTTTATATTTTAAGAGGGAGTGGTTTCGATGTTAAGAGGGTGTGGCTTAGGTTGTAAGAGGGTGTGGTTTAGATAATAATAATAATAATATGCCATTTAGCAGACGCTTTTATCCAAAGCGACTTCATCATGACGTGCTCATTTTTGTGTTGGGTGGTCCCGGGGATTCGAACCCACTACCTTGGCGTTACAAGCGCCATGCTCTACCAGCTGAGCTACAGAGGACCACGATTATAAATTGTAAGGGGTGTGGTTTAGATTGTAGGGTTAAGATTTAAGAGTGTGGTTTAGACTTGTAAGAGCAGTGGGTTTAGATTGAAGCAGGGTTGTGGTTTAGTTTAAGGGTGGGTTCAGTTGTCCCGGGTTGGTTACGATTTAAGCAGGTGTGGTTTCACTTATACGAGGTGTGGTTTACGATTGTACGAGGGTTGTGGTTACGCTTCATACCGGGGGTGGTTTTACGCTTGTCCAAGGGTGTGGTTTGTTTGTAGAGGGTGTGGGTTTTGTTGTAGCAGGGGTGTGGTTTGTTGTCAGAGGGTGTTGGTTTAGTTGGTGAGGGTGTGGTTTAGATTGTAAGGGGTGTGGTTTGTTTAAGAGGGTGTGGTTTAGAGAGTTACAGAGATGCTGAGGAGAACCGCAACAGTTTCTACCTGTTTGAAGATGCTTGTCAGTAGCTCAGTAAAGCTTTCAACCACGTTCTCAATTAGGTTACACAGTGAAATCAAGTTAATCATACCACAGAACCATAGAATCTTTGTAAAATCAAGCATTTTATTTCAAAAGGTAGGTATTACAAAGCAAAATGTCACCAACGTAAATCACATATTAACAAAAGGTTCATCCAAAAAACACATTATTGTCAAACAAACGGTTGGACATGTTTATACCTCTTACGGGCGGCAGGTAGCTTAGTGGTTAGGAGCGTTGTGCCAGTAACTGAAAGGTCGCTGGTTCTAATCCCTGAGCCGACTAGGTGAAAAATCTGCCGATGTGCCCTTGAGCAAGGCACTTAACCCTAATTGCTCCTGTAAGTCGCTCTGGATAAGAGCGTCTGATAAATGACAAAAATAAAATAAATAAAAAAGCTTCATAAAAAAAGTGTGTATTGGAAATTCACTGATGCATACTTTTATTAAAGCTGGTGTATGTGTAGAAAAGCAGTTGACTGGTCTCTGGTCTCTGAGGGGAACATCGCAACTACAGTTGGTGTCATGGAGAATGACTGGTCTCTGCTCTCTGAGGGGAACATCGCAACTACAGTTGGTGTCATGGAGAATGACTGGTCTCTGCTCTCTGAGGGGAACATCGCAACTACAGTTGGTGTCATGGAGAATGACTGGTCTCTGGTCTCTGCTTCTTTTCAGGCCTTCATCATCTTCCAACAGGATCCTGATTTTAATCAAAACAACAACATGTAAAACTAGAAGTCAGGGCACTGATTGATGAGTTAAAACACAGGCAGTGTACTGGTTGATGAGTTAAAACACAGCCAGTGTACTGGTTGATGAGTTTAAACACAGCCAGTGTACTGGTTGATGAGTTAAAACACAGCCAGTGTACTGGTTGATGAGTTGAAACACAGCCAGTGTACTGGTTGATGAGTTAAAACACAGCCAGTGTACTGATTGATGAGTTGAAACACAGCCAGTGTACTGGTTGATGAGTTGAAACACAGCCAGTGTACTGGTTGATGAGTTGAAACA